CGACACTATCCGGCCGTTCATCGTCTGAATAGAGAGCCCGCGGAGGGCGTAGTGCTGAGCGCTGGCGGCGATGGGCCGACCATTACGGTGGAGAAGGGAGTGCTTATAGAGATACCGACGTACGCCATACACCACGACCCGCACCACTATCCGCAACCGTTTGCTTTTAAACCCGAGCGGTTTTTGCCGGAAAACCGGCACCAAATCAAACCCTATACGTACCTACCGTTGGGCGCCGGACCCCGTAATTGTGTCGCCACGCGCTTTGTATATCTCGAGTGTAAACTACTTGTGGCCAAAATGATACGACACGTTCGCTTGTATGCGGTGCCCGACACCGATATACCCGCTGTTTTCAACGTTAATTCTATGTGTTTGGAGCCCCGGAGGCTTGTGGTGGGCGTTGAGAAGCGTTAAGTTATATTAGCAAATGATTTATTGTTGAGATTAATAAACGTGTTTTTTGATTAATAAAACAATTTATTTAAATGCAAAATTTTTAATGTTATTAATGCTGTTATAGATAATATATTTTTAAATTAAAATATTAATATTTTTAGAATTTTAAAAACTTATAACAAATATAACATTTATATAACAATAAAGTATAAATAATTGTACTATTTAATTATTTATCAATTAAATAATCATTATGCTATAACATTGTTTAAATGTACTACCTTATACAGAGTGTTAAAATATGTGTGCGCAAATTTTTTTAACGATATCGTAAGTAGATACCACATAGTCGTGGTCGGTAGTGTTGTTTGCAATTTACTTTTAAAAATGATCATAATCAAGTAATTAAGTAGTTAATTATAACTTAATTTCCATCGTTTAACAAACTTGCATTATATTTTTAATTTTATCATTACTAATTTGCAACCAACTACGTTAAAATAAAATAAATAATGTAAAAATTACTAAATAAACTACTAATGTACTAAAACTAAATGTAAACTAAAACTTTACATTAAATAACTAAAAAAACCAAAATTAGAATAAAGTAATAGCATATGAAATTAATCATGATCAATTCTCGAATCATTGTCCATAGCAATAATACGGCCGTTGGCGGCCATACGGCTCTCTGCGTCGGCCATAGTGTCGCACACCGGGAGTCTCATCGCACGCAATCGATGGCCGTATGTCTCGTCAAACATCGCCGACTGTTCATCAGTCATACGCCGACTCCAGTCGCCGATTGTGCCCTTACGGATGAATTGGGCGTCGGGTCTGCCCTGGGCTGTCATAAACGCAGACCTATTGGCCAAAGGGTTGGCCCGCATTGAGTCCAGTGAACAGTGAGCGGCGATTGTGGCCACAGTTTCGTCGGTAAATGATTTTCCAAGAAATCGGGCAATTATGCGGACCATTGCCGGCAGGTCTACGATTAGTTCCTCGTACGCCACGAACAATACGTTAGGGTTAGCCCCACCGGAGCCGTACTTAAGCCAATAAGAGCTGACGTTTTGAAACCATTCGCCAAAAGCTAGGCGTCCGGCGACAAACAGGTGGCAAAAGTCGGCCCATTGGGCGCCCGACCCGTACGACAAGAACGACATATTTTGATGAAACCAATAGAACGAGACGCACACGTCCTTCGGGTTACGCACGATGTATATCATCTGATGGGCACATAATTAACCAGATTAATAAATAATCTCTCTCTCTCTCTCTCTCTCTCACTCTCACTCACTCACTCACTCACTCTCTCTCTCTCTCTCTCTCTCTCTCTCTCTTTCTCTCACACACACACACTCTCTCACTTACTTACTTTGCCAATCGATGCGATAGTGTTTGACACATACTGTGCGCTACAGTGTGTAACGATAATCTTTGGATCAGATCTACTCGCATACAAACCCATAAAATCTACGCTAAGATCGTAATGATTTAACGCTCGTTCAGACACGTCCTGACCCCTCACACTGTCGACCACACCGTCGGCCATAATGAGGGACACGATCTCTGCCAACCACGTGGTGCCCGACTTGGGATACCCGCACAGCCATACGTCTGCCGGACGGATAGTCAGGTGCCGTAGTGTACGGATACGACTGTAGATCGTCGACTCGTCCACATCAAACAGGTCTTTTGTATAGACTAGTGTGCCCTTAATTATGGCCGACACGTATCGATATCGGCGATTATGTTGCTCATTACTAACCATGGTGGTTTTGTTTGCCAACAGCTATTATTTAAAATATATAAATTACTGTGTTTGTTAAAGTTTGTGATTTAAAATATATTTTTAAGAATTAAAATAATTTAACCACATACAATCTGTTCAATTAATTTGGGAAACTCGTCGATACCATCAAACCTCCCGATGTCTGTCAACTTGTCTAACAAATCTCTATCACCAGTACTGGGGATAGTGATCCCAACGCGTAGGCCTTCCCGTACCTTAACCTCTGTAATAAATGACATGAATTTAAAAATTTTACACAATAAATGACCATGTTATTCATTTACAGATTGGTTTTCCATTTTTGCCCATAAAACTTAATAGAGTCTTATGTTACCAACTGATAAAAATCCTATTTTACCAAATTTGAATTCAAATTACTGACAAATTAAACCCTGAATTACTATACTTTTTCATTTTCACAAGTTTTATATAAAACGGAAAATCACAACTAGAGTTTAAACATGAGGATATCAGGCTATTCATGCATATATTTACTTGATATCAGTTATATTTTGAATTAATTAAAAAATAAAGTATATTAAATCTTCAAACTTATTGGCAAAATAGCATAAACACCCTGTATACCTAAGCAAACGGATTGAGTTAATTTATCGTCAACAGTGGGCGATAAAGGCTGAGATGTGTTGACCACAATCCAGGGCAGGCCTGACCGCGCGACTGATGGCAAGTCTAGCCGCGAGTCGACGACTATAACGTCTGGTCGGATGTCAATGAGAACTCGCTCTACAATTGGGTCCAATTTGTGGTCCCTTTGGGTTAACACCTGCTGTTTACCCGTTGACAGTCCCGCCCCGTAATAACTGTTTGTTTCAGTGTCCGTCTCTTCGCTCTCGCCATCGCTGATGTCGGTTACGATCCAATTGATTGTCGGGTGCTTTGCGTACAGTTTGTCCCGCAGTTTGTAGTCCGTTAAAATGATCGCCCGATGCCCGCCGTCGGCGGCGCCCACCAGAGTCTCGCCCATAGCTATAGCCGACTCAATGTCAGCCCATGTTATGAATAGTATTGTTAGTTTATTTTGTGACATTATTTTATTGGTTAACAATCAGTAAATAAAGTTCTATTTATATAACTTTATATAACTTTCTAGATTATTTATTTTTGTTAACACAATAATTTACAAACAATTGTAAATATCCACCTTTATAATAAGTACACTAACATTAAGTATGTCAAAACCTTGTCCTGGTTTATTTTAAAATAATCATCATTACAAATTTGCTATAATTATGTTACCATGCATATATTGTACAATCATGCTATTTATTTTTATAAAACACAGATTTTGATATGACACGGTCAAAATTATTAAGAATATACATGCTAAATTATAAAATCACTTTACTTAATTGCAACGCGATGCAAACTATTGATTTTCATATGGTATAACTTATATAATTTTCAAAAATTTAATTATTGCGTCTACACCCAATTTTACATTATTTTATTAGTAAAAATCAGTAAATAAATTAAATGATTATTTTTGTTAAAACAATATGAACGCTAATATTAAGTGTCTCAAAACCTTATCCTGCTTTATTTTTAAATAATCATCATTATAAATTTGTAAAACATGTTGCTATGCATATAATGCACAATCATGTTATTTATTATTTAAAAACACGGATTTTGGTATAGGATTGTAATAATTATTAAGCATATGCTTGCTAAAATATATTTAATTACTTTAGTTAGTTTTATTTTACATATTAGCTAAAATAAAAACCATTGTGTTACGATAGTTTTGTTACCGTTAAAATTATAAAACATTTTATCATAATGCTAGTTACATAGATTATTTTCATTGCATAACTTATTTAAATTTTGCGCTTAAAATTTATATAAACGTGTACAATTAACAGCGAGTTTTAGACTTTTTTCATTGATCTAAAACATTAATAATTTAAATTATTAGAAATTAAAAAAAATTTACAAAGAACCATGCTTAAAAATAGTTTACCTTACTTCTAAATGAATGATAAGAACGAAGACATGAGTGAAGAGTCGGACGAGAGTTATGTCGAAGAATTGGGCGAAGAATCAGACGATAGTTATGTCGAAACGAAGACAAAGAATGCAATTAAAAGACAGAAATTGACAAAAAGTGGTTCAAAATCGAGGCCTACTTTTTTGATCCCAAAATTCAAAGAAAGACAGAAAATGTTTGATTTGAACACAAATTCATACAAATGTCCGGAAACTGATTGTCAGAAGACTTTCTCAACGGACGAAAAATTTGAAAAACATTTGTATAGATATCACACAAACCGGTGGTTTAAATGTGAATACAATGGATGTGATAAACAGTATGCACTGAGATTTGATCTCAAAGTACATGAAATGAAACATAAATCGGGGAAAAGTTGTCCAAATCTTTTGACACCAGATTTCAATGAAAGGCAGGAAATGTTTGATTTGACCACAAAGTCATACAAATGTCCGGAAACTGAATGTCAGAAGACTTTTGGAACCGATGAAAGATTTCGAATGCATTTATATAGAAATCACTCAAACCGAGTGTTTAAATGTGAATACAATGGATGTAATAAACAGTTTAGTGTCCCTCATCGGCTCAAGGATCACATGACCACACATTCAAGTGATAAACCATTTAAATGTGATTTCAATGGATGTCGATATGAAAGCGGACTCAAAGCCGGTTTACGTATTCACATGCAGTCACACAACACAAACAGAAAATATGTGTGCGATTTCATTGGTTGTGAGAAGACATTCACGAGTTATAGTAGTCTATACGATCACCGGCGCAGACATCAAAGTGGACCGACATTTAAGTGTCCGACCAAAGGATGTGTTGAGTTGTTTTTCACGAGACGTCAACTCCGTAACCACGAGGTCTCAGTCCATAACCGTAAGCCATTTGTTCAACGCATACATCGATGCGATTGGCCGGGATGTGAGTGGACGGGCATTAATATATATAACCACAAACTGCAACACACGGGTGAGAAGAAGTTTGCGTGTTTATGGCCAGAGTGTGGCAAACGGTTCGCTCGTATCGACAATTTTAAAGACCACATGAATATTCATAACAACGTTAAGCCCTATGTGTGTCATTGGCCCGGATGTACACACAGTTACGCACAATTAGGTAATCTTACGTCACATATCAAACGCTTTCACACCAAATGAATAATTGTCTGACAATTATATAAGACATCACTTGACGGGTACTCCACGGCTGCCATTCCTTTGGCCTTTAAATAGACTTCGAGACAAACTTAAGTCTAATCGCCGGACACTTATTGTAATGGATGTTGTATTTAATTGTGTGATCAAAATCATGTCATCTCAAGACTTGTCAAAAGAATAGTTTTTATGATTAATGAATTTTTAATAAAACAATGTTTACTACAAATTATGTGTAAATTTGTATTTAATTTAAATATTTATGCATCATAGTTAATGTTATTAAAAATCGTGATTTAAAATAGCTTTAATTTTGATTAATTCATTACTAATTAAATTCAAAATAAAATTAAATTAATAATTTATAAAGGTTATTGATTGGCTTTAATTTGAAATAAATTTTGTAACACTTTAATCACTTCACTATAACTATTATACAGTATAATTTATACTCTATAACAGTAAGTTACTGTTAGTAACTAAAAAGTATGAATTAAAAAAATTTTTAACAATGGTTTCGGAAATTTTGAAAAAATGTTTTCATGGGTTTAGGGCTTTCCTGAAGAAAAGCAATTCCGCCGTCCGTTTCAAGTTCTTCTTGAAAACTATCACTTCAACGCTTCCAACGCTTGAAATCACTCAACACATCCATTCCTGATGTCATTCTTCACCAGAATATCAACTGTTATCTCCGATGGTATTGTGTTTCAAGGCTACAGACATATAAAAATATAAAATTGAGTTTTGTTTTGTAGACAAAGGATAAAAGAAGGGGGAAATTAATTTATTGATGATATTTTTTAATAAATTCAGAAAATAAATTAAAAATATAATTTTTTCATTCATTGGAAACGAGATAAAATTTTATGAATGACTTGTTTCCAAGCGCGCTCTCTCTCGCGCGCTCTCTCTCTCTCTCTCTCTCTCTCTCTCGTCCAAAATCTCTGTTCAAATATAATTTGTACACATTTTTCATTATGTTTTCGCGAGTATTAAATGTGTGCCCATATTCTGAGTCTCGATGTCTGTCTGATTCTCGCCGTGTATTTAGTTATTTAATAAGCAAACAGTGATAACAAACAATTTAATGCAAACAATTCACTGAACAAATAATATACAAAAATTTTTATAACACAAAACATAAAGAATTATATAATTTTCACACACTTTTCAAAAGAATAATTATTTATTTTCAGCTCAAATACATTCAAACGAAATAACAGGAAATCTGTGACAATAATTATTTTAATGAATGATATAATCAAATAATTTCTACTGAAAAAACAGAGATATAATTTCTATACGTATGAAAACTTTTATTTTTACCAAACATTATTGAATGCATTTAACCGTATATTTTGTGTTTTGGGAAATATTATTTCGGAAATAATTTTCAAAATCTAATATCTTATAAATAAATATTTGTATTTTGGAAAATAATAGCAAAACGTTTTCATCAGTTTTAGTGATATTTATATACGAGTAATGAAATCATTTCGAAATACGATCTCATCGTAAGAGTAATCGACGGAAAAATAGATAAAATTCAAGAAAATTTATTTTATGGGAAGAAATATTATATTCATGTATATATTCTCTGTCCATGTTTTTTGGGTAGAAATACATTTGAAAGTCTCGTGTAATTTATGTCTTAATATTTGATGTTTTAAATGATTTTCACAATTCAATACAGACATAAAGATATGGCAAATGGTATACATAGTTGAAAGATAGAGGAGAGAGAGAGAGAGAGAGAGAGAGAGAGAGAGAGAGAGAGAGACTGGGAGAGTGATTCTTGCAAAGGCCTAACTGTATAACCAAATGAATATATATTTTATTTTCAAATTTATGAGCACTCGTTATAAATGGTTGAATCATAAGACAGAACCCGAATGTGTGTATAAAAACAGAGCCGATAGAGAAAAACAACTATACATTGGGTTTGCATTGAATTGTAAAAAATCATTAAATCTTTTATTAGTGAAAGAGATTTTGAGAGATATAATGTATTTACAGGCGAACTGACAGTGAAAGTCAAACCAAAGTGAGAGAGAGAGAGAGAGAGAGAGAGAGAGAGAGATCGGAAACAAGTTATTCATAAAATTATATTTGTAAAAACTATATCTCGTTCGCAACGAATGGGAAAAAATTATATTTTTATTTATTTTCTTATTTATTAAAACATATTATCAATAAATTTGATTCATAGGCAGCGGTTCTGCGAATTTTAGGCCTTATTTCAAACACAACTTCTCTGTCAAACAGTATAAAAATAAATTAAAATATATGTATATTATTTTTAAGCACAAAATATGCTTTAGTTTTTGCAAATTTCGTTAACTCTTCTCAAGAGAAAAAGCGCTCATAAAGTGTTTAGAAAGTAATTTGATATGAATTATGCGAAAATCATATAAGATTTTCGCTAACAGATTAAAAAACACACACAAAATGAGCGCAAATAATAAATTTCTTTTAATGAAACTGTTTTTCTCGTTTCTGTACTGAAAATTGCTTACGAGTTGTACATTATATGCGATATTTTTGTTTATGTAATAAAAATTGTGGAAAAATTTCTATATTTAATAATAATATTCTCATAAATCAGATGTTTGTTTAAAATATAATTATTTTGGATAAAGAATATATAGAATTACAGCAAAATTTCTTTTGATTTTTAAAAAACTCAAAATAAGGATTAGTTTTATGGCATAAACACTGTATTTGTAAATAAAAAGTATAAAACAAGGACATTTAATGATGGTTATATGAATTATTGTATATGAAATATAGTTATTTATAAGTTCCATCTAAATCATCAGGAAAGCTTTATAAGTGCCATGGATTAGGTAAAAATACTTGTGAACAAAATTAGGCCAGTTTACTATTAATATGTAATAACCTTTCGTTGTATTTGTGAATATAATATCAATAATTTTGTAAATTTAGTTCAAAAGTATTAGATTTCATGGTTTGGTAGCAAATAATTTAGCCTATATTTTGATATACCATTTATCCATCTATTAATTCAATGCCATCACTGCTCTTACGATACCTAAACCGCCACACTTTGGGAGTTTACATCACTTATACATTTCTTACACTCTATAATAATCATTTACCATGTAATATTATTTAGATAATAAAATAGGAGTTATATAAAATTGTACATACAAATTTTTAATGTAAAAATAATAATATAAGTTAATTAATTATCTTGTTTATTCTAGTATAAATTAGCATCTTTAATATATTTATCACAATTCATTATATAAATTATGTTTGAATTTAAAGTTAACTATCAGTTTAATTATATGATATATCTTCTTATATGAAAATTGATTATTTTGTATGTTTTAAATGTAAAATAATTTATTGTGCATCCATTATTGGCTAAAATAAATTGTTAAACAAGCTAAATATAAAATTTTTATATTTTATTCAAACGAAACTTTTAGTACATTAAATAATATGGTATATTAAGCGATGCCAAACACCAGCATAGCTGGCAATAGCATTGAAAGTCCATAGTCTGAACTCCAGAAATTAATTCACAAAAAAATAAAAATAATAATTTATATTTTTCCACATAAAACACATGAAATAGTTTACAAACATTTTCCATAACTAACAGAATATTAATATTTATCACAAAATTGTTGTTAAAATAATTCAATTTGATGTCGTTATCGCTAAAACAGATTTTATGTCATTCAATATACAATTGGTTTAGAGATACCAAACTTATTGTGAACTCGTTTTATGTGAATTCCGTTTATAATATACGGTATTATTGAAAACCGATTTTACAAATGTATTCATTTGTGATTTAACGATCGGTTATTATTAATACCTGTTATAATAAACAGATTTATACCACATTATGTATTAATCGTTGTTAATTTTAAGCATATTATATGTCTATTATTTCGATGAAATGTAAGTAAAATTATTATATTTAACAAATAAAGTTTAAAATTCTTATAAAAAAAGATTATTATTTTACAATTAAATTACAGTAAAATTAATTAAAAATATAATTTACTTATAATATCACGAAATAGAGAATATTTAATTATATTGTATAAAATCGTTCAAAACTTTAACCGAAACCCTATAGACATCTGTTAACAAATGTTTGCAACAAATTCTTAAATTTTAAAACAAGGGATGAGAATATAGTTCATTGATGGATAATCTCATTGAATTATAGTAATTGTTTATCCCTTATTGAATACATTGTTTAGTTATAAATACTTTTAATTGTGATTTAAATCAAAACTAAATCACATTTACTCGTTTTTAAATAAATTGTTAGAGAGAGAGAGAGAGAGAGAGAGAGACTTTTTCAAATTTTTCTAATTTAATACTGATTTTTAATTAACGATTAATAAATAGAAAGTTTTATAACAATATCAAAATATATTTGAAAACAAAATACAACAAAACCTACACAATAAATGTCGAAATTAAGGCAATGAAAGATTTTAATACTAAAATTAACATTAAATGTGTAAACAGTTATAATCAGAAAGTTTGGGATAAATTGTTTGAATACTATTACTCCTAATTACAGTTATTTCCAAATCTTTTGCCACAACTTTCAGACTATCTTTCAATTCTTCTATAGTTTTGACTTCAGTTTCGTTCACTTTTATAATTATGTCCAATAATTCAAAGCCTTTACTAAAGTTATCCAAAAAAAATATCATTTGAAACAAACAATCGTTACTAATATTACAGAAAATAAATGAAAACTATAGCATACCTGAGATCATCGGTTTTTAATGGACACAAAACTACTAATCCTTCAGTTTTTTGTTTAATTGACTCCACATTTGAAGAAAAGTTTCGCTTTATTTTACGTTTAATTCGCATTTCCATTGAATAATCAAACGGACGGACAAATAGTCCCAAACATTTCTCACCACTCATTGAATATCTCTTTTCTCTGTCAGTCTTTTCAAACTTCATTCCTCTATCAATAAATGCTTTCAATAAAATAATCAAATATTTTAATAAATAGTATTAAATATTAAACAACAAATAGTAATAATAAGTTATTATTAACAACCATTATTATAATATTATTATAACCAAAAAACTAAAATATATTTTTAGCATAAATCTTAAGCAATAAATAAATTTAAATGTGAATCAAACCATTGGCATCAGTCGCCGAAACGGAGAAACAGTCACTAATGAGTTCATTGCTCGCGAAGTTTATGCCCACGACTTCGCCCTTACTGTTAACCAGAGGACCGCCCGAATAGCCGGCGCTTATTGTGTTAGTACTGGCAATGCATTTATGGTTTTCATCAGTAAAAAACGATCCAAACCCATACGAGCCGTGCGAACCGTTTTTCATCGCAAATTGCAAACTATAGACAACTCCATCGCAAACCGAATAACTAATATCTGGACACCCGATGGCCACCACTTGTTGGCCCTGTTCTACGGTTTCGCACAATTTGACCGCCGATTGATTTGACAGCTCTTGAGAGGTGCGGATTAGCGACAAATCCAACTCTGGCTCGACGTACACAACAATCCCTTCGTAATACCGGTTCTCATTGAGCACTATATCGCCACCGCTTCTGGTAAACGGATAGATCACTAATTCGGGTGAATCTGTCGACACGTGACAATTGGTCAGTATATAGCCCTTGGGGTCGACAAACATTCCCGACCCCTCCTCTTCTACTATATACTCGTTGTTTATATCTATTTGTTGGTCAATAATATTGACGAACTTCTTCATCATATCATTAATTACATTATCCATTGTTTTATTTCCATTCAAATGAGCTTTTCTTAGACTTATTTTATGTACAATAGTCTGGATGTCTGTCACCAATTGGTTCATAGGTTTTCTCTTGTTTTGAGACCAATAGTTATATCCAATCACTGGAATTAATGCCAACACAAGTGGTCTGTTTTGAGTGACAAATGTTTAAATTAATTGTTAAAAATTAAAATTTTCTATTTCACTCCCAATTCATACCAACCTTTTAATGAATGTTTTAAACAAATACATATTTATAAAATTATTCTCTCTTATAATTGTAAATCAAAATAAATTTTAGAAAATATTACAACAAATTAATAATCTGTTTGAATTATTGAATTGTTTCATAATATAAAGTTTGATTTGATTTGTTGATTGTTTGATTTTTTTATATTGATTTATGATTTAAATGTTTTTATTGTTACGATTGATTCAAACGTTGATTTAATTATTTATTTAGAGTTTCATTAAATATGTTTTTGTAAATAATTTTGAGAATATATATAACGTACTCATTGTTAGCAAACATTTGAATTATTAACGGAATATTCTGTTATTAAATACAAATCAATTGAATTCATTGATAACAAAATTACAGACAAAATGTGTTGGATTTTTGGATACGTGTTGTGTTGCGGGTGTTTGGGAGGGAAGACATCATCCGATGGCAAGAATACCACAAATGTCTATAAAGTTGACAACGAATCCAACAATAAATCCATTCCAGGTATGCATTGATTGCTGTCTTTTGTGACAACATTTTCACAATTTATCACTAAATTACAGACAAACCATTGATTGAGACAACAAATCCAACCACAGAATCGACTGATGATACCATTCCGGCCACAGTTAAAACACCAATCAATATCACACATAATGACAACATAACTGTAGAATCGATGGACAAACCATTGATTGCGACAACAGATGGGAACGCAATGAGAGAATCAACCGGTGATAGCATTCCGGCAACAATTAAGACACCAATCAATACCACAAATAATGGCAACACTGCTGTAGAGCCGATGGCTAACAAAGTGAACACAACCTCAAGAGTAATGATTGATCACATTCTTGAAGATATATTACAGCACTTGAGTGTCAAAGAATTGTTTCGATTGGAGAGGACTTCCGCACAGTTTGCGTGTTGTGTGGGAACAGCTCTTAGGGATAAACGTGTGCTAAGTGTGGGTCAGAAGAATCTCGAAGAATGCGATATCACTGATGCCATTGAGGAAAAATTTATTAATCCTTACACTACTTACGACGACCATAAAGATCAATACAAATACGATTTGATAGCCAGTCATCGCACGTTCACTTCAATACTAACTAATTGTTCACTCATTAAAAGTGTTTGTCTGAGACGTGTTATTGTCGACTACCAGACCATCGCACAGCTCATCCATTTGTGTCCTCAACTTTCACGCTTAACATTGATTTTGATTGAAATGATCCCTTCGGACAGTATTACTAGTGATGAGTGGACACAACTTCTTGGGCCGCGACTCACATCATTGTCTCTCATTAAGTGTAAAGTCAATTATATTGACAAAATAGTAAGCAATTTGAGACAATTCTCATCACTTGAAGAGTTTCGTATTGAATGGTGTGAAGGAATTGAAGTGTTGGCCACAATTCCCGCAAATCTAAAGCGATTGCGAATTCAAATGTTTAAAATGGTTTTCGATGACGAGAATGGTATCAATTCATTCATCACTCGTTGCTCTTCAAGTCTGAAAGCGCTGGCTATTGAATGCAATTCATTCGCTGATCACCACTGGGATCAGTTGTTTATCTCTATCTGCGATCACATGACACTCAAAGACTTTGCGTTTGACACATACTGTCTGAATGGACAGATAGTTAGTGATAATCTGTTTAAACTGAGGGCTTGTGAACGGCTGCGGATTGACTGTAATATCGATATAAACTCAATGATAGCGATGCCGTCTGTAAAGCATTTGACGCTATCAAATGTCACGTGTCGTCCATCCGAGTGGACACGTATGGCAACAGTATTCCCAAACTTACGGCGCTTTTCACTTCTGGAAACGATTGAAATTCAATGTGATTTCGATACCATTCGTATCGACGAAACAGACCATTATATCATTGACTGCGAGATCTGTTTCTATCACTGTTTGCAAAGAGTGTCACAATTACCACAACTCATACGCTTAGACCTCATTAATACCCGCAATGAAAATAGTTTTTTTTCAAATTTTCTTCCAGACATTAGTGACCATTATTTGAGTCGTTTTGTTGATATCAAAACGTTTTGTTTAATCGACTATTACTGTGCCTATGGTTTGGTATCGTTTTGTATTAATTGGCTTCAAAATAGTCAAAGACGTCCATTAAGACTAGTATTGGACAAAGAATTGGCCGAACAATTTGAGTATAGATTTGTCAGAATGAATACCAATCCGGATATAGACTGGGATTCAATCAAAATTTATGTCAAAGCATTCTCTGAATAATTATTTGCTAAACAAATTGATTTATCATTTCGTTTTATTTTTAAACAAAAAATGTTTATTTGAAATAAATTTTGTAGTAATTATTTAACAAAGTTTGTAATTAATAGTTATAATATTTATAACTTATAATTCAAAAGTTAACTTAAAATTGTGTTGCGATTCCCACCGCTTCTGGTAAACGGATAGATCACTAATTCTGGTGAATCTGTCGATACGTGACAATTGGTCAGTATATAGCCCTTGGAGTCGACAAACATTCCCGACCCCTCCTCTTCCACTATATACTCGTTGTTTATATCTATTTGTTGATCAATAATATTGACAAACTTCTTCATCATATCATTAATTACATTATCCATTGTTTTATTTCCATTCAAATGAGTTTTTCTTAGACTTATTTTATGTACAATAGTCTGGATGTCTGTCACCAATTGGTTCACCGGTTTTCTCTTGTTTTGAGACCAATAGTTATATCCAATCACTGGAATCAATGCCAACACAAGTGGTCTGTTTTAAGTGACAAATGTTTATATTAATTGGCGTGTTTGTATACAAAAAATTAACATTTTGTATTTCATTCCCAACTCATATTAACCTTTTAATGAATGTTTTAAACAAATACATATATTTCAAAATCTGAGATAATCTAATTTTATAAATTATAATTATTTAAGTTTTAAATGATTTGCAAATATGAAATATGAAAATGTAAATTTAAAACATGTAATGAAATATCAATTAATGTAAAGCTAAACAATTGAACGTTGATATAATGTTTGACTGTAAATGCATTGTTAAACAATTCAATATACAATTTGCTCATGATCATAATCAATTATTATTTATTTAAACAATAAATTTAAAGTTAATTAAAATTTGTATTAAATTCTCATATTTATGTTGGAATTATTGGTTTGTTTCATAATATATATTGATTTATGATTTAAATGTTTTTATTGTTACGATTGATTCAAACGTTGTTTTAATTAATTATTTAGAGTTTTATTAAATATGTTTTGTAAATAATTATGAGAATAAATAGCGTACTATTGTTAACAAACATTTGAATTATTAACGGAATATTCTGTTATTAAATACAAATCAATTGAATTTATTAATAACAAAATTACAGGCAAAATGTGTTGGATTTGTGGATATGTGTTGTGTTGCGGGTGTTTGGGAGGGAAGACACCATCCGATGGCAAGAATAGCACAAATGTCTATAAAGTTGGCAACAAATCCAACAATAAATCCATTCCAGGTTTGCATCGATTGATGTCTTTTGTGAATATGTTTTCACAATTTATTACAAAATTATAGACAAACCATTGATTGAGACAACAGATGGGAACGTAATGAGAGAATCAACCGGTGATATCATTCCCGCAACTATTAAGACACCAATCAATACCACAGATAATGGCAACACTGCTATAGAGTCTGTTGATAACAAAGTGAACACAATCTCAAGAGTAATGGTTGACCACATTCTCGAAGACATATTACAGCACTTGAGTGTCAAAGAATTGCATCGATTGGAGAGGACTTCCGCACAGTTTGCGTGTTGTGTGGGAACAGCTCTGAGGGATAAACGGATGTTAAGTGTGGGTCGAGAGGGACTCGAAGAATACAATATCACTGAAGCCATCGCTAGAAAAGAGTTGATTCGTCGCAAGAATTATGACGGACTGAGTGTTGATTACAAATACGATTTGATAGCCAGTCATCACGCGTTGACTTCAATGCTAACGAAGTGTCCACTCATTCAATGCTTGATTTTAAGACGAGTTTTTATCGACTACGAGACCATAGATCTGGTCATCGGTTTGTGTCCTCGACTTTCACGCTTAACATTAATTTCATGTAAAGTCATATTTTCGCCGACTATTACTAGCGATAAGTGGCCACAACTTCTTGGGACGCGTTTGACTGCACTGTCTTTCATTGATTTTAAGGTCAAATATTGTCATAAAATGGTGAAAAATTTAAGACAATTCTCATCGCTTCAAGAATTGTTCATTGGTTTGCATTGGAGAGAATGTATGCCAGTGTTGGCCACTATTCCCACACATATCAAGAGATTGCGATTAAAATTAGATAACATTTCACCTGAAGATGTGATTGAATTCAATGCATTCACCACTCGCTGCGCCCCATATCTGAAAGTATTGGATGTTAATTACGATTATATTAGACCTGAGTTATGGGAACAAATTTTTATAGACATTTGTAACAATCTATCGCTTATTCTCAAACGTAAGTTGTGCACCTCGCTTTTATATGTTGACAAAGCCCTTTTGCACAGATTTGATTGCTATACACTTTATGAGTTTTAGCCACGAGTGAAAGTTAAATTGTAGTTAAGTTACTAAAGTATGCCGTCTGTAAAGCGATTAACTATTGAATGGGTTCAGTGCCGGCCATCCGAGTGGACACAAGTGACCGCAATCTTCCCAAACGTCCGGCGCTTTACATTTTTGGAATTCATTACTATTTGGTGTGAATGTGATAATGATATCGAGCGTCGAGACCACAGTCACTGTGATCTGTGTTTTGACAGATGTCTACAATATGTGTCACAATTGGTAAAACTAAGACGTGTGGACCTAATCGGTGATCCCACATACTTACCGGTGCTTAGTGTTCATCATTTGAGTCAACGTTTTGCTGATATTCATACCCTTTGTTTGGACCGATATTACAAAGACGTCCACCAATTGGTCTCATTTTGTGTGAATTGTGCCGAACATAGAGTTACAAGACGTCCATTAAGTCTAGTATTAAACAAAGAAATGGCTGATCGACTGAAGAAGAAGTTGTGCGAAATGGATGTCAACTCGGATTTAATCAAAATATGTGTTAAGAGTTTGCATTCAACACGTGGAGCGAAAATATACAACTGTTTCGGGAAAACGTGTCTAAACTAACGATATGTGAAATACTCAAAATCGGTGCTCACTTTCAATTTAACATCAATTCAATGATTTCGATGCCGTCTGTAAAGCGATTAACTATTGAATGGGTTCAGTGCCGGCCATCCGAGTGGACACAAGTGACCGCAATCTTCCCAAACGTCCGGCGCTTTACATTTCTGGAATTCATTACTATTTGGTGTGAATGTGATAATGATATTGAACGTCGAGACCACAGTCACTGTGATCTGTGTTTTGATAGATGTCTACAATATGTGTCACAATTGCCACAACTCAGACGTGTGGACCTAATCGGTGATCCCACATACTTACCGGTGGTTAGTGTTCATCATTTGAGTCAACGTTTTGCTGATATTCATACCCTTTGTTTGGACCGATATTACAAAGACGTCCACCAATTGGTCTCATTTTGTATGAATTGTGCCGAACATAGAGTTACAAGACGTCCATTAAGTCTAGTATTAAACAAAGAAATGGCTGATCGACTGAAGAAGAAGTTGTGCGAAATGGATGTCAACTCGGATTTAATCAAAATATGTGTCTTAAATCAAACCAAGAATCTCTTTAATGAGTAATTTTTAAGCAAAATTTATTCATTTCTTTCTGTATTATAGTCTAATATATTGACGAAAATTTAAATTAAATTAATTGAATAAATATGAATTAAACAAATACATAGTCATTTACTAAAAAATGGTTTAATAATTATATATAAAAATTAAGCGATTATAACAATTGGACTAAATATCATATTCTCTACTCATTGTTAACAAACATTTGAATTCTAGTGAAATATTCTGTTATTAAAGCAAATCATTTATTTTTAACTGAATTGAAGACAAAATGTGTTGGATTTGTGAATACGTGTTGTGTTGCGGGTGTTTAGGAGGGAAGACACCATCCGATGGCAATAATACCACAAATGTCTATAAAGTTGGCAACAAATCCAACAATAAATCCATTCAAAGTATGCATTGATTGCTGTCTTTTGTGAACATATTTGTAACAATTTATGACTTAAAAACAGACCAATCATTGAATGCGACAACAGATGGAAATACAAAGAGAGAATCGACCCGTGAATCCATTCCGTTAACGATTACTGTAGATTCGGTGGACAACAAAGTGGACACAAATTCAAGAGTAATGATTGATCACATTCTCGAAGAGATTTTACAGCACTTGAGTGTCAAAGAATTGTATCGATTGGAGAGGACTTCCGCACAGTTTGCGTGTTGTGTGGGAACAGCTCTGAGGGATAAACGTATGCTAAGTGTGGGTCGAGAGGGACTCGAAGAATGCAATATCACTGAAGCCATCGCTAGAAAAGATTTGATTCGTCGCAAGAATTATGACGGACTGAGTGTTGATTACAAATACGATTTGATGGCCAGTCATCACGTGTTGACTTCAATACTAACAAAGTTTCCACTCATTCAAGATATGATTTTGAGGCGAGTTATTGTTGACTACAAGACCATAGATCTAGTCATCCGTTTCTGTCCTCGACTTTCACGCTTAACATTGATTTCATGTAAAGTCATATTTTCGCCGACTATTACTGGCAATCAATGGACACAACTTCTTGGGACGCGTTTGACTGCACTGTCTTTTGTTGATTTTAAGGTCAAATATTGTCAGAAAATAGTGAGAAATTTGAGACAATTCTCATCGCTTCAAGAATTGTTCATTGGTTTGCGTTTTAGAGAATGTATGCCAGTGTTGGCCACTATTCCCATACATATTAAGAGATTGCGATTAAAATTAGATAACATTTCATCTGAAGATGTGATTGAATTCAATGTATACATCACTCGCTGCGCCCCATATCTGAAAGTATTAGATGTTAGTTACGATTATATTAGACATGAGTTTTGGGAACAAATATTTATAGACATTTGTAACAATCTATCGCTTAAAGAGTTTGCATTCAATACTTATAGCGGAGATATGCAACTGTTTCGGGAAAACGTGTCTAAACTAATAATTTGTGAAATACTCAAAATCGGTGCTCACTTTCAATTAAACATCAATTCAATGATTTCTATGCCATCTGTAAAGCGATTAACTATTGAATGGGTTGAGTGCCGGCCATCCGAGTGGACACAAGTGACCGCAATCTTCCCAAACATCCTGCGCTTTACATTTCTGGAATACATTACTGTTTGGTGTGAATGTGATAACGATATCGAGCGTCGAAACCATAGTCGTTGTGATTTGTGTTTTGATCGATGCCTACAATGTGTGTCACAATTGCCACAACTTAGACGTGTGGACCTAATCGGTGATCCCCCATACTTACCGGTGGTTAGTGTTCATTATTTGAGTCAACGTTTTCCTGATATTCATACACTTTGTTTGGACCGATATTACAAAGACGTCCACCAATTGGTCTCATTTTGTATGAATTGTGCCGAACATAGAGTTACAAGACGTCCATTAAGTCTAGTATTGAACAAAGAAATGGCTGATCGACTGAAGAAGAAGTTATGCGAAATGGATGTCAACTCGGATTCAATCAAAATTTGTGTCTTAAATCAAACCAATAATCTCTTTGATTAGTAATTTTTAGCAAAATTTATTCATTTCATTTTGTCTTATAGTTTAATATATTGACGAAAATTTAAATTACGTTAAATGAATTAAATAAATAGATAGTCTTTTACTCAAAAATGATTTAATAATTATTTAGAAAAATTAAGCCATTATAACAATTGCATACAATTATAATGGGTTGCGATTCCCAAACAACTTATAAATTAATTTTAATTCATACTAAAAAGACAGTAATTAAATATTAATGTATTGTTAACATAACAAAATTAATAACACCCATAATGTGCCATAAAGTGCCATGGTCATTTTCATAATTCAAACTTTGAATCTCAAAATCTAAACTTTGAAAACTTTTTTGTTACAAAACTTTAGGCACAAAATGTATTGACTTGTATTGACTGCTGTGTTGAGTGTATGGCCTGTAATACAGGTGTCACTAATGGTGAGTGAATGACGCGTCCATACAATACAACACAACAACACATCCACGCAGTGATCACAAGAGTCGTCCACACATTGGTTTTGAGCACTCATTGCATCCATTCATCGATTGTTCCCTTCCTCTCGACCACTGGTCGGCCACCGGATTGTCTCAACACAAACACAACGCTTCCCATAAGACAGACATGTCTTTCAATCGGGACAACAGTTTTGAGGCTAATGTCAGAAATTATCATCAAAATAGTGTCACAACCGATGGATCAGATGACAGCCAATTGAATGGTGCCGTCGAAGACACCGCTGTTGTCGACAATAACACCAACGGTTTGTTTCGTCGCGTAATATAGTGTTTGTCTTAATTGTCTTGAAGTGAGTCAATGGACTCAATGAAGACATTGAATGAGACAAACATTGCATATGTTTTGCACATAACTATCACTTGATTTACCTCTTTGTCTGTTTCCTCTCATAGAAGACAATAGTGCGGCCATCGATGGAGACAACAGTATTAAAGCCACGAGAGGTAACATATCGTACGAAGAGGTGAGCGATGACTATCTGGACACCGATCCGGACGACGACCCGGAAGATGACGAGTCCGAGTCGACCATCAGCTTAGATGATAGCTGTCGACCGAAGGCGAGCGCCGTAGGGCTGATGGGCCGACTCGGCAGTCAAGACAACGGTGCCGTCGACCGCTTTGGGTCGGAACCACTGCCCGATACGGTGACCGTATTGGACGGACCCAATGGCGCCAAACTATATCTCGTGGGAACCGCTCACTTCAGTGAGAAGAGCCAACAGGATGTCAGCCAAGTATGTGATGATTGTCTGCCATGAATGACAGTTATCTCACCATTTGTTAATCTCTTTGCAGACAATTCTAAGAACTCAGCCCAACATTATTGTCCTCGAGTTGTGTGAAAGCCGTTTAAGTATACTATCGATGGACGAGAAGACAATTCTGGAGGAATCGTCAACAATGGGCGTCGCGAAGATCAGACATAACA